GGCTTTAAGCAGATATCTGATGGGTTTTGCGGTCACAGAAATCTTTTTCTCTTTCTGGTACCTTATGAAGAAATAGCCTACCACACGGTGCGGGGAGGTTGGAAGTGTCAACTGCCCGCACGCTTCCAGTGGTATTCAAGAATGGCATCCTGGCGTTTAATACGATAAATGATGAGTTTGTTTTCCAGGTAAAACATAAATCCACTTAAGATAAAGGTTCATCAAACTGATGGGGTGTGAAATACAGTTATTCGTGAGGAAGATTTAACTTAGATAATGCGGGGTTGAAATAATAATAACAATAATGATAATAACAGTGGTGGTTATAATAATAATGTTGCTAGTCGATGACGTAAACGTCGAATGATAACAAAATGGGTTACGTAAGATTTCTAAATCGTTTATAAGGTGCATATGACTTCTGCACATTTAGTGATTTGGTGTTTGGAGGCAGCGTGTACAAACCCAAGGATATTCAGAAAGTGATATGGATTTCACCAGATGGACACACTAAAGATCAGATCGACTTAATCTTGATCTCAAGAAGGGGTCAAATGTAGATTCATACCACCCACTATCTAGTGCAAGGAACCTATGTTCAAAATCAAGTTGAAAGCCTTCAAAGAAGTTGGTGATAGACCACAGTTCAAGTTCAACATCCAGAACAGAAACTTAAGCACGAAACTACGAATGACATGTTCACGTCAGCCATCAAAACAAAATGAGAGAGATTGAGCAACATATCCGAGGAAACCCTCATTAAAGACCACTGAAATTCTTTGAAAGCTATGTGGAAAGAAACCTGCATAACCATATTAGGAAGAAAAAAGAAAGAAGATGCGAAATGGATTTCGACGGACACATGGAAGCTGATTGAGGAAGAGAGGAGGATGGTGAAGCAGAAGATAAACCAGTGCTAGGATCAGCAACAAAAGGAACTGAGTGCAACGTATAAAACACTGAACAAAGAAGTGAAGAAGAGTGCACGGAAAGACAAAAGACACTTGCAAGTGAAGCAGAACAGGCTGCTGGTAGGAGGAACCTGACATCACTATATCAAATAACCAGGTTACTATCTGGAAAGAGGTCTACGAAGATCAAATCAATGAAAGATAGTGAAGGAAACTTAGTTACCAAAGAAGAGAAACAAAGGAAACGATGGAGACGTGCTACTAAAGCCCTATGTTCCACTAGGAACCCAAAGAAAAAAAATATTTGGTGCATACAGGTTAAAAAGAGGTGAAAACGTGGTAGAGTTAATAAGCAATCAAATGACTAGGTAATGTGAGTGAGATAAGTTGAATGGAATAAATTGAAAATGTTTTAGAAGTAGTATTCACCATAGACTGATATCAGTTAGGGAACCATTGAAAATCTAGGGGCACTGGACAGCTGTTTCCTCCTAGTACCGTACTCCTCAGCAGTACGCGCCCATGACCCATGATGAATACTACTTCTAAATTAAAAAATTCCCATTCATCTCAAAAATACATCATTGTATAATGTACATTGGTGACTTGCTTCCAGATGGATATCAGGAAGCTCTAATGAGAAGCCGTTACATGGGGGGGTCAACCAGTCGGAAGTGAAGCAGATGTCAAGTGAAGAATTTGGGTGATAGTCGCGCTATGTCGTGAATTGACAGAATTTGGAAATTGTGAACCACTGGAAACTGACCCAGCGGCTGAATGGTTAACGCGTTCGCCATGAAACCTGAAGGTCATGAGTTCGGTCCCTAGCGGGGTTGTGGGTGCGTACTGCTGAGGAGTCCCATACTAGGACGAAACAGCACTGATGTCAGTCCATGATAAATACTACTTCTAAATTAAAAAAAATCCCCATCCATCTCAAAAATACATTACTGAAAATGTTTTGTTAAAAGTTGCATTTATCAGAAAGATCAAATGAAGTAACACCGGAAACCATTAAATGTAAAAATAAAAATGATAATGACGACAGGAGAGTACAAAGGTTACTCTGACAAAAAATCTGGGTGGGGATGGGTTGGTAGAGAAAACGAAAAAGGAACAAAGCACACCAAGACTAAAATAAGTTAAGGTAGAGATAAATACTGTGCATACCTCTTTTGCACACATAGGTCAGACTTCAGTTCATGGATAGCCAAGGCCTCTACTGTTTTTAGAAGCTGAACATGTAAGGAAACATGAGATGTTTGAGAGAATTCGATAGACGACCTTAAAATCATTGTTTCGATCGGTTGAATGGTTGCAGTCGATTAAATGTTCATGAATAGAAATTCTGATGCATTTCCTTTCATCTTGATAAAACCAGGCTGGAATATGTGTTGACAACAGTCTCTGACTACGGCCAATGTACCTTGCTCCACAGGAGCTGGTAAACTGATAGATATACATGGATGTGGCCTGTCTAGTTATTTGGTTGTGTGTTAACTCTATCACTTTTCAACCCCTTTTTAATCTATATGCACCTTATAAACAACTTGAAAATCTTACGCAACCTTTTTTGTTGTCATTCCACCTTTACGTCATCAACTAGCAACATTATAATTATAACCACCACCACCACCATTATTATTATTTAACCTCCCATTACTGAAGTTAAATCTTCCCACGGATTACAGTCTTTGAATATCACATATATATACGAATGTACAGCTTGAGAATAAATTCGTTGAAAAGAGTCCTCTTCTCTCAGTATCTTGTCTTTCTTCTTACTTACCAATGATTATATTCGAGAGGAGAATAAGAGGCTGTAGGATTTATCCTGATCTATCTACACGAATGCCACATAGTAACTAATAGTATTTCACTCTAAAATCTAAATCGTACTAACATTTTATATTAATGATAGATAGTGATTAACACTGGAATCCAGCACACACATTTGTCCTATTTCGGACTCGCACCTGGATATACTTGCCTCTCAGTAACTGATGTTATTCCCACTGGGACTCGAACCCGAGACTGGTCACCATAAATGTCTAGGCGTTATCCACTAGACCATCGAGTCATGACAGCAACTTCTTGTGAAACGGGTTTAATATTTTTATGTTGTTACTTGTATTATCCTAAAGTTGTTTAGTTTTCTTAAAAGTGATAGATACTACATTATGACTTATAAAATGCCCCTTTAAGAATAAAAGTAGTAATAATAGTAATCATACTAATAATTGACTAATAACTTACTTTCTCTAGTTTCATCACAAAAGTGTAATTCTGTACGACTAACAATTAAATGATAAGATGTCTCTAAAACATCATACTGATGAAACATATTTACAGCATTTACATAATTCTCTGTATATTTACTAGTTGAATTTTGTACTGCCTGTTGAATATTACTACTGGTGTTAGTATTGACAGTATTATTGACAAATGGTTGTGTTTCTAATGAAGTCATAGTGACAGTTTGTCGCTAAATGAAGAGAGAAAAAAACCCAGAAAACACAAGAAAATGATGAGTTGATATTCATAAGGAACAAATAACGTCGATATGATGATGATAACTTGGTTACCTGACAAAAAGGAATAGGTCTGGGCGTACTAGGTAACTAGGATATACATATATCACACAAAAACGAATATTACACTGTCAGATAGATGAAATCTTAGACAAGTAGAAGTAATTCGAGTTTATGAGCCCCTCTGATTGATATATATGTATAGTTGTTAAAACTACATAGCCATGGATCTACTCAGTACTAGAACTGATCTCAGCTTGTAAAAGTAGATACAAATGGCTTTTAGATGATGGGGAGTGAATTGCAAGGGAGACCTGATTCACCTATATTTCGTGTTGGTTAGCAACCATGAAGAAATTGATATTCCTTCAGTGAGTTGAACCTGTATCATTGAGTGCTCAATGAAGTCAGATACTTTGTCACTAAGCTACTTAAACTATAACTAACCTATCCCTTAATACAATTGGATTGTGTGTCTTGCCAAATGACTTTCATCAAGTAACATCAAAATACAATGGAATGTGCACTGTCCCACCACTTCACTCTGTGACCATATTCTAAAACTTGATTGATAGACTTCGATCAGTGATGAACACACCTGAGTCATTTACTGACCGGTGAACAACTTCCATATACTACAGATTCAATTCCGAGTCAATATCGCTTCAAATTTTATCTACATATTTGTACATAGATAATTCCTGAAGCAAACTGATTGTAAACACTACTGTAGTAGGCGTTGCTGATAAGATTGCATATAAGTAGTATATGTTGAGAGGGTGGCAGAAATCATAGGCAATTACCAGCAATGAGTAAACATTCTGTCCAGAGAAACGTAAGAGCAAATCAAGGTAGAAGCAGAAGAGGAAATGAAGCACATTATGCAAATGACTATCTTAGTGGAAGGTGTATCATATTTGATGACTACTGCACAAGATGTCAATAATCAACATTTCTTCCTGAGTCTCAGTCTTCTCGTTTCCTCAACTACAAAGCCTATTATGATTGTTCAAATCTTTCACAGGAGTTCAACATGCCCAAAATCCTTCACAACAATCCGACAAAATATTCCAAATCTTCAAGAAAAGACAATGCGTTCATACATGTAACCTTCAGATCGACTAATACAGCCAAATCGATAAAAAATATCACGGTCGTTAGAATATGCGTGTGGTCTCTCGTTACACTTTGAATACCTGAGATTGTCGTGGTTTGGCAGACTAGTATTTATCCACGGCCGGATTCGAACCAGCGACCATCGGGTTTCGAAACCAACAGCGGTCTAAATATTTATTTCACCTTAATCATCACCCGGTATAAATACCAGTCTGACAAACCAAGTCTATCTCAGATAGTTAAATGATAATCAATATGATGCCTCCCCTCTCTAGTTCACTTAGATTTCGATTGTGATGAGAAGTCCTGATTAGACTGATAAGACTGCATATAAGTAGTATTGATTATTGTCCAACTATTATCGAAATATAATTGTTCCATTCAAATGTTATACTACTTTTTTTTTCTGTTGGTTTTTTTTTTTAACCCTTTCAATTGTTAGCATAAAGAAACGGAACTTCTTCAAATTATTGAATCATTACGTGTAAAAAAGCATGAATTAGAAATTTTTTCTGCTAATCATGAATCAGCAATGCGTAAACAAATCACTGAACTTCGTATTATGCTACAATCAGCTCAATTAGAAATTAATGAATTAAAACAAAATTTACATATTGTTCAAACTACAACAGCAACAATAAAATCATTCAATTCAATGTCAACTTCAACAAATTTTGAAACATACAAGATAGCTAAGAGTAATAATAATCATAATAATAATAGTAATAATAATAATAATCTAGTCAATTTGTCAAAAGTTAATAATATTGAAACTAGTCCATCTACTGAGCCTACAATGGTGACACGATCAATTTCTGTTGAAGAGAATTTCTCCAATAATCATAATGACAATGATAGTAGTCATCATGAACGACAACAGAGTCATCATCATCGACCTAGTCCATCTGGATCAGAGGCTTCATTGGACAATAGCCATAATACTACTACTACTACTACTAATAATAATAATAATAATCATCAACAAAAAATCAAACCGAATAACTCAAATCATGTAACACACATGTATCAAATGGATTCAAATTCTTCTAATAATTATAACCAAAGTAATCATTATCATGATCAACCACCTGTGAAACCTCAAAGAAAAGGTTTAGATCAAAAATCGAATAACTTATGTAAGTTTTGCATAAAGGATTATGTTGTTTGGGAGTTTATTCAATATAACTGAGTGTACTGTACTGTAGTCTGATCTGTTCCTACTGTATGACTGTGAAATATGGCCATTGAAGACTGAAGAAATGAAAAGGCTTCAGGTGTTTCAACACCGTTGCCTTCGTAGTATAGGTCATATCCTATGGTGTCACCATGTGAGTAACGCAGAAGTCAGGTGTAGAGTTTTAAAGGATAGAGGTAAATCAGTTGACGAGGTTATGAATCTTCATCGACTGAAATGGTTGGTCCCGACATGTGTTACGTATGCCTAGTCACCGATCGCCTCTTCACACAATGTTAGCTGAAGTAGGTTCAAGCTGGAAAAGAGCTCGAGACGGCCAAACTAAAACATGGCACCAATGTATGAAGTGTTTCACTGTTGGTTTGAGTCATATGGGTCGATACTGACTTGGTGGTTGGGGCCGGTAGGACAAGAGGAACCAGTGGTTGGAGATTCTAGGTGATGCATCGTGGCTGAGAACCGATGTCAGTGTCGCAGATGTATACACACATTATCCTCATCTTAACTACTCTATACTGAATCTCACCATTTTCTCATTCTTCCTTTCTCTCTTTTAGTACTTTGTATTCCTTTTGACTGAATTTTTCTATCTTCATCTTGCAGTTCACTGCCTTTTTACTCGATGTAGTGATATGAGTTGTGGCAAGTTGGACCGTTATGCAGTAATGCCTAGTTCTATATTGATTTGTATGGATGGATGGATGGATGTCAAGAGAGAAATATGATTTATTTTGTTGAAAGAAGTTATTAGTGTGGTCAGCTGAAGATATGGTACGAGTTGAGGAATTATTTGACTGTTCATCTGAGTAGTGTACCAAAGTTTAAGTTGCCTTATTAATGTTGTCGAGATGGTAAGTATCAATAGCTGGAGGACTTCTGGTTGATATAGCTGAAAACCAATCATAGTCGCGGAGATTTACTCACTCTTGAATGTCTTCAAATGCTCGAGGATTTTGACTATTCTTTCATTTATTTCTTCTTTCTATCTCTATACACTTTTATCTACTTTAATATCACTCCTTTTTTCCCATCCACTTGTTGTTTCCATGCTTCATAATGTGGTAACTTGTTGAAACTACACATTTCAGTGTAAGGTTCTACATTGATTTGTTTATGTTATTTGTTTAAAACCGACGTCGCATGATTTAAAGCAGGGAAAGAGGTAATAAATTCTGTCAAAGGTAGGAACATTTTAATGCAGGCTTGATTAAATCGTAGCCATCAGGATATGGGAGAAGAACAAGTATTTCAGCGATTGAAAACAGATTCCTGCTACGCTTTGTAGACCAACGCATCAAACCTAAACCTCACAAAGAGAACTTTATCACCTTGCCGAAAAAGGATATTCTATATGAATCTAAACTTCAAAGTGGATTGTGCCACTGATACTCTAAAAAGGAGGATATCAAACACTCTAAGGTGAACATTTTTTGCATTAACACTGAGACTAGTGTTCTCTTGTTACCCAACGATTTCTAAAAACTCAGTTAGTAACTTTCACATCTGATCACTTCTATGTACATATATCAATTCATTTGCTCTTGTGGAGCCAGGTATACAGGTCGTTCGATGTGACTGTCATCCAGAAGAGTTCAAGAGCACTATCCCACGTGGTTACAAAGAGGTAACAGTGGATCGATAAAGAGTGCTATAATTGAAAACATCATGAATATGAATCATCTTATCTCAAGAACCTCGTCGTTCGTATAAAGTGAAAAGAAACGTCTCAAAGGCTGGATGTCTTCGTATCCTCTGCATCACTGAAACTCTTGCTATTCAAATTGAAAAGCCTGAACTGTATACGGAAAAGAAGATTCTTTAACCTCTTCTTTTATGGCCTTAGTTTTCAGTCTCCTTTACTCCCCCTTTTCTTATCATCTTTCTGTTTGACACTATTCACTTGTTCAGTAATTTTCTACTCATTCTTGTTGCTATCAAAGTCTTACAGTAGAAAAATGTATAAATCTGCGATTGTACAGCATTGAAAATGTAATCGATGAAAAGACTGTTCCCTGAAATATATACTTGTTCTTCTTTTTTAAATCATAACCCCCTAGATTTCACGGTTTTGAGTACTCACCAGCAACATGTCTGTCTAAGCTTTCTCTCTCTCTTTCCTTCTGTGTTTTTAAAATTTAATGTTTCATAATTCAACTATTGATAAGAAGCATTCTGGTTAAGAAATCCTATGAGCAATTGTAAAAATGAATCAACCACTGCATGATAGTTGAAGGGATACTCTTGTCATCAGTGCAATGATGATCAAATTCTGTCGGTACGACATTCACTGAAAGAAGATAGGGTTACGGATTTCAGCTGTTATCATAGTACGGTATTTGGACTTACTTATGGCAATGACCCATTCAAACCATATTATGTGATACGGTTGTTTGTTAGGGCGTTATCACATCAGGGGATTCGGTAAGAGGTTGTTGAAACCGTAAGCAACCAGCTTCAGGGTCTGATGAGCAAGTTATACTTCTGACTGTAGTGAGACATAACAGCAATAAGATGTCTCCAGATTATAAACAATATCTCCAGTCAATGTTAACTTGTCATTTCCCAGAAAAAGAGATAGAAAATGCCAACTTTCAAACAGTATATCCATGTCGTCCTGTAGGTTTTTGTTACCGATGATAAGGTTGTGTATAGAGTACACAGTCAATGGAGAAATCTGAATCGAAAACGGAAAGAGGATTTCATGTGCAGTCGGTCTCAAGCATCTGTTCCGTTGGCTCTTATATTCACCTTAGATAGATAAGAAAGTATGTACTGGTTCAATTGTTATAAGTATCTTAAGAAGAAGTGTTTTATGTGGTTAGTAGTTGGGAAAATGTCAACCACTTGCACATACATAGCGTCGTTCAGTCTCTTTTAAGCAGCATAGACAACAGTGTATGAAGTTTCCATCAACTGTAATGACATGGTTTCTGATTAAAAACGCTATCTTTTATGCTAGAAATTTGCAACCGAGCTAATTGTAGAGCGTATGTTTAGAGTTTATTTTACATGTAAGTGGTCATATCTGTTCTCACCGGAATTCGGACTCGGGAGTGATCGCTTCAAACGCCGGAACGTTATCCACTACACCACCGAGCCACGATAGCCACTTCTTATGCGACAGGTATAGTTTTTAGTACCATTGCTTATATTACACAGTCACTGATTGGACCGAATTGATCAGTCTCTATTGGCGTATGGGCTCCTGTGCGGATGCCTCGATATTGCCTGTGTTCTAATCATAGTAATGACGGATATGTAGATGATGTTTACTACTCAATCTAGTTATATAGTAGCATACTTCTGAAGTGTAATATTTTGTTAAACATATTATCGAGGCTACCATTAATCCTGGTATCTTTCAGCTAAATTGGTAAATGGTTAAATTTTTTACTGGATACGTAATTTTCATTATACCTTTAAGATTCATTCTACCTTCATTCCTATAGTAGATTCATACACTTGTATTATTATTATTATTTGTCCCTTGAGTTCCTAGTTGAACATAGGGCTTCAGTAGGACATCACCATTTCACTCTCTTCTCTACAGTCTGTCTCCACCTGACTCCATGACTGCTGAAAAGCTTTCATTTTTCCTCACACCATCTCCTCTATGTGAACTTCAGCTGGGACTCCAACTTGTCGTTTCCTATTTGGATTCCACTCGACGTCCTGACCTAGCCTGTTGCGTGATGTCCCCGAATGGTCTCAGTGGTCTCAGTGCATGCTCAATCCAATCCATTTCCACTTTCTTCTTCTGGATATTTGTTGGATGATGGATTCTTGGTTGGTTCGTTGCCAGCAGGCCAGCTAGTCAGCCAGCCAGCGAGAGTTCCTTGTTGTTTATTCTTGTTATACTGGCCATCTGATCTTCATCTTCAGTATCGAGTGAGCAAGCGTAGATGGCAGCTGTTGATGAATGTCTGTAGTTTGTTGGAAATACTTTTTGTGACGCGTCGCCAAGTCTGTGAACCATCGCATGGAAGCATTAACTGACTGACTGACTTGACTGAATTAGTGTTGAGACTCTGTATATTGTTCAGACTTTATGCTGATTGGAGTGGAGTGGAGTGGAGTGGAATGGAGTAGATCTGGAGAGTGATTGGTTGCAGATTAGTGCAGGAAGGCCTATCTTGTTGTTATTGTGATCGTGTCTTTGACATCGTCATCTGTGCCTGCGGCGCCTGCTGTAGTTGAAAGGATGCTGCCTGTGTAGTTGGTAGGTGGAAGAGACCACTTGCTCTCTATTTGTCGTGTTCATGGTGATTGGTAGTAGTAGTAGTTGTTGTTGTTGTTGTTGGTTGGTTGGTTATCTTCATCACGTCTGTCTTCTCTACGTTCACCTAAAGGAATTGCTGTCTTCACTGCCTCACGTCTTTCATCAACTTGTTGCTTTTTGTCTGTAGGTCTTCGAGCTTGTGTGACAAGACGTTAGATATAAATCATCATTGGTGAAATCCGAATGTTGTAATGTCTTTTCATGGGTGCAGTCAGCGTATGCCTGCCTATCTTCTGGCTCGTCACAGTTGTTTGTTGCATGAATCAATCGAGTGGGGTCGAGTCGACCACAACCAGGAAGATGATTATTGATGATAGTAGGCAGCTTGTCTTTCTCCTGTCGCCTGTCTTCACTTGAAAGGCATGAGTGAGCTGAGCTTTCCATTTTGAATGACTTGTCATGTAGCCTCATCGTATAGCATAGGATATAGGTGATGTTGAATGAAGTTGATGAAGGTTTGTGGCAGTGAAACGGTAGTGTTGAAGCAGCTGCGTGCGAAATTACTTTTGTGTGGACGCCTCAATCGAATTCCTTTTCAAAATCGATGTAGTTGAGGTAAAGATCCAGTTGACTGTTATTCTATGCTCTGTTGTATGATGATGCGTAGCGTAGCGTTTTAATTTGATGCGCACGTGTTTTTTGAAGTAACACATTTAGCTTTTCTCTCCTACCTGTTGATTCTTGTCAACCAACAGTATTCTCAACCTCGGACATAAATCATGATTCTATAATATCAGTCTACGTTGTTAGAAGGTCTAGTAACACACAATTTGCCGCTAAGCTGTTCAACTTTAGATGATTAAAAAAAATCAAAATTGACAGTTGGTAAGGTGACTTTTATCCCCACTATGGTTGACTCTATAATTTACATTCAGCTCACTTTGGTCATTGACATGAAAGTTTTGGGTGCTCTGGTCAGTGTTTTCAACTTCTAGTGTTGTTCTGTAGCTATGGTTTCTTAACTACTAGATATCTTATCAGTGTTTTTTTTTTAAAGTTTACCGCATAATTTTACCAGTATGTTCTTATACTTTCAGTTTCTCCATGTACACCACAAAATTTAACATCATCTAAACACTTAGCTAATCAAGCAACGAGTTATTTGAGTGAATTATTCAAATTAGTTTCCAATTTGGCACAGAATTCGAAAATATCAAGGTCGGCAAATATACACGAAGATGTGTACAAGAAAAATTCAATTACAATTTATCCTATTGGTTGGAAATTCTCTTATTATCCTGTTGATGTAACAATCTATGATGATGATAATAGTATGAAGAGAGAAACAGTAGAGACTATATTCAATGATCATATCTTTAGAACATGTTATTTAGCTAATATATCTATGAAAGCTGAAGGGATCTGTACAAATTCACAAGACTTTTTCACTATATATTCAAATCAATTACCGGAAATATGGTTGAATGCATTGAATAAATATAAATACTCACAGAATTTTTTCAACGAAAATGATACATCAAGTAATTCTTTGCATTTAAATCATACAGTGTAAGTCACTGTTGTTGTTGTTGTTGTTAAACGTGATCAGTTTTGTTTTAAAGTTCTCATCAATCAACATTTTCAGTTATGTAGAATCTAAATTGTATTGAGTATAAGTGAACAACACTCTTCTCTGTCGTATGAATGTATCATATGAATAAAGAGATGAATTAGTCTAATCATATGTAGAGTTATGGTCCATTGACTTGGAGAGTTAACTTTCAGCCAGTAGTGGGTGATAGCTTCGAACATCGCTCCACCTATCAAAGTATGCGCAGCATGGTAGTATCAGTAACCCACATACACAATAATAATAATAATAATAATTCACTTTATTCCAAACAATTTGTGATACAATTCGGAATTCACAGTATCATATATATTCCAACAACAACAACAAAATATACATGTGTATCTATATACTCCTTTACAATATTTCGAATTGTGTTATCATAAAAAGTTAAGTAATGTAAAGAAAACGAGAACAGTTTACATTGTTAGTTGAATGAGTTGAAATGAGATTGTTAACTATTACAAAGTTGATATGTGAGTTGCCTTTTCCTCACACAATGTGTGTCAGGTAAGGTACAGTCGAATTCTTATACTTAGCTGTACAGGTGTACATACAGTCTTCTGAAGTTTCATCTTGTCCTCCCCGAGGAGATACAAGAAGAGAGAGAGAGAAAGAGCTGCGAATCAAGTGGATGCTCAGTGTCAGTTAAAATTACTGTAGTTAGTTGCTTGTTAGGATTTAAATGTCTGTCGACTACAGTGTTAAGCAGTTAGACCAGAGGCACACCAATCCACCCTACTGACTGACGGCTTTCAAAGCCCTACACAATATAACATTGTCCTATTTTAGCAGACCAGGAAAGATCAACGCGGAACAATAGACAGGAAGAACAGGTAAGATGCAGAAATTAATAAAATGTAAAAGTAGAAGTTGAGTTATATATACTACACAGACTCAGTTTCTTCATGTAATACGTTAGATGAAAGATTTTTTCACTGATCAACAAACATCAGAAGTAAAACTCAATTCCAAGATAGTTAACATTTGATTTACTTTCTGCACAAATACCATCAGTACGGTAACAGGCGTCATGAGACCTATGCAGCTCACCTGAGGCTAAAATTAACTGACGGTCTGACATTAAGAAGGGTTTAACTTGAGACCATTGGTCAACTACAGACAAGAATCCATTTAATTCAGAGCAATCTAAGTGAGAGTTGACTGGAATAGAAACCGTCACATCATCAGCACAATTAATAAAATTAGTTTCAACAGAATAAGGTAAATCGTGCAAAAAGAATGAAGACAGAAATGGAGAAAGTACAGCACCTTGAGACACACCAGCTTCAGTAAGGAACCAAGTGGAGCACCTCCCTTTATACACAGTATACTGTTTCCTTTCAGAAAAGTAAAAATACAGCCACTTTGAGTCATAACAAGCTTATTTAACAAGAGTGGTCTAGCAACAGAGTCAAAGGTTGATGAGTAATCCAAGAAGACACAACGAACATACTTAACACCTTTGTCAAGACTAGAAACAATACTAAAATGTGAGACAGTGGTAGCATCTAAAGTTCTTCTCCTGTGTTGGTAAGCAAACTGTTCTAGTTCTCTGAAAACCATCAATGAAGGTTCATTATCTCCAAAAAGGGGGAGTTATAGTAACAGGTGAGAACCTAACATCTTATCCAGAAGATGACTTAGGCTGAGGTATAACTTTGATCTCCATGCAAACATCGGGTATTGTATTTGTAGAAAACGATTCACTAAAGACATCTTTCAGACGATGACATAAAATATGTGCACATTTCCTAATTATAATAACACCCGAAACAACATCATAACCTAGGCTTTAGGATGAATTCAAGGGTTTAAGACATTGAAAAGCGTCATTTGTACTAAAACCAGGAAGCAGCTATCCATTCGACTATGGTCATTAGTAAGAGCGAAATCAGATTGGTGACGTATGGTGACTTGTTTATAGCGCAGGCATTCGAACAAGTTTCTTTTATCATCTGCTTCCTACCAGTAAGCTCTTTGAATAATTTCCATATATTGTAAGAGTTCTTACACGATTGGAACTTCTGGTTGTATATAGTATTCATACGTTGCATTTCAGACTTAATTAGACAGTTAGGTCTTTTAACACCAGGATGATCTGTCTTGTTATACAACCTTTCCTTTTCTCTCCGGAGCCTCTTGAGATGAGGAGAGGAAAGTCTGTCAAGTCTCATGTAGATTACTTCAACAGGGCAGCAAATATCGAGACCGAGTCTCAGATAGCTTGTGATATTGGTAATAGTGTTGTCGAAATCTTCAGCAAATATATCCCACTCTGTTCCTATAAACATGCTTCTCAAACGTAATATATTCTCTTGTAAATAATATCTGCATTGAACTTTCCTGGAAAGATATCCGAAAGCTTTCTTGTGTAATATGCCGTACACTTTAGGCAAAACACCTACAATACGGTGGTCAGAATTTAGCAGCGGAGCCCATTTACGGGCTTTATACATCCCTGAGTCATTTGTAAGTACTAAGTCGAGGGTGTTGTCAAGACAAGTGGAAAAGTTAACCATATTTTCATGACCCAATAATACAAGGAAACTTCAGTCACATGAGTTAAAATCTCCTCACACTATAGACAAGGAGTTATCTAGAACTGGGACAGAAAATGCAGTGAATTCATTAGCAAAAGTTGACAAATGTGAGAAAGTGCAGTCAGGTGTTACATAAATGTTTGTTTGTTTTTTAGCCAAATGTTTAGGACGATGTTTATTGATGATTCACTCAGTGTTTTTGTTAGAGAAGCAGAAGCATATATAGTTGGTGGAGGATCACTTTATGTTGATAAATGTTGCTACACTACCACTACATTTCTTCTTGGAAAAGCCTCGATCTTGTCGAACTAATTTGAAACCATCTAAGCAGACTAAATCATCATCATAGAGGTTATGAAGCCATGTTTCGTGTAGAATTATTACAGCGGTATTCTGTTAAACACTTGTGGATAAGAGTGACTGAAGGTAATCAACTTTATTCGGTAACGACCTGTAGTTTGTGATAAGTATTTCCAAAATAGTCATTTAATCTATGGTCATAAGCTTGACAGCCTGTTGTTATCCACCATACTGTGATGTGGTTCATTACCTACTATGTGAATATGCATAAAGTTACAGTTTGGAATAAGTTCATTGAGTAGTGCTGAATTCAAGAATATGTGTCTTTCCAACCAATCAAGTGCACATTTATACACTAAGCACTGAGGTATACCTATTGTTTCGTATATTTAGACAATTGGAATAAGATTGAAACCTCTAACCAACCGATTAGTTGAAAGTTATCTATCTGAACCCTTCAAGCTATAGCATTATTATGTTATATCTTACTCGAAATTTATCAGAATTCAGGTGCATAGTGTTTGAATAAGCGTTTTTAAAGCAATGCAGTTATATTTTACGGTTTGTTGAACATAAACATTTTATCAAGAAATATGACTAATTGAGTATATTTTCTCTAGAGCTACGTTGAAATTATAATTGTTTTTCTTTTCAATTGGTGGTTTATGAAGATTCATTGAACTTCCAAGTAGTTTCCAACACAGACTGATATCAGTTAGAAGACCATTGGGAGTCTGGAAGCATTGGACAGTCAGTCTGTGATAGATATCAACCTGAAACCAATAAATAAATGCCCCAACTCTTTATTACTAGTTAGTAACTTACTTTGAGAGGAAATTCGTCAACTCCTAATCAAGAAGTTATAACCGGTGACATGAGGACAGTTACTCAACGACAGCATTCGATAGAAGTTGCTCTATATCATAAACCGATAGCCGTAGGAAACTGTAAACCATTGAATTCTGACCCAGTGATTGAATGGTTAGCGTTTTCTCCATGAAACTTGCAAGTCTTGAGTTCGACCTGTAGTGGGCCGGGTCATGGGTGCATGCTGCTGAGGAGTTCCACACTAGGACGAAACAGTTGTTCAACGGTCGCAGGTTTTCAATGGTTCTCCGACTGATATCAGTCCATGATGAATACTACCTTAGAATTCAATAATAATAATAATCATAATATTATTGAAGGCAACAATGTCAAATAGGCAGCTGGTGTTACAGTACCATCTGGTCTGAACTGGAGAATGAATAGAGAAATCGAGAGTCATATTGGTGATTGTAGTTCATTGAATAATCTGTATTTCTGAGAATTAGTAATGTTCATTGTATTGGGCATTTACGAGTCCGTTTACATCAAGTGTAACGTTAAAAAAATGCCAGTTTAAAAACATTTTTAAAATGTGTAATAGTACATGATACGCTTAGAAGATATACTTAAAAGATAAAAGCAGATTACCAGAGAAGAATTTGATAAAACATATACTCTGGAAAAATTTTTTAATAGACTAAGTAAGGTTTAATCAAGCTACCAAAGTTGATGGTTGAAGCTAAATGCATATATATTTGTAACATATGAAACAGAAGATAATCATAAACTGTCAGTTATTGGTTATTAAAACACCCAGTGATTGAAAAAAAAGCAACATTGTGTATTACTTGACAGTACCTTTCCTTTCTGAGAAAATGTTCCCCCACCCCTCCTTAAAAAAAGACATAAATTGTTTTTTGATTTGATATACTTTTATTCACTTTTGAGATTCTTATAAATTTCGTTTGAAGTAATTGGAACTGTAGATTATGAGATGGAACATTCACTGCTCGTTAAGGTTTTTTAAACAATCTGCTAATGTTAGAACTTGGCTTCTAGCCAAGTGCATAAATTTGAACTTACTTACTCTTTGACCTTATGATACACGTTATAATTAGTTTTAAAATGTCTATTTAGTAAATAATGTTTAAGGCAAGTCGAATAGTATAACGGATATTGCTATATATACTACTTGCATTCATCTTTATAAGTAGCTTCAAGTACTCGGTAACTTGAAACTAATTTGATAAGTAATAAATGAAATATATTTTGTAAAATACCAATGAAGTAGAAAAATGAATTCCATGGAAATCGCTTCTACTTCAGAGAATAAAACTTTTACATGTTATCGAATAGTTTAAATAGTAAAATGTGACGAATTAGATCACATTGTCTGTCTATACATGATAATAATATGAACGTGAATGTCATCGTTATGCTGTTCAGGAAGCGTTCACAAGAATAGCAGAGGTATTTCACATTTTGGTAAATCCTAATGCACTCGGATAACAGAAAGGAAGGACTAACTATCCAACCAACCTGGACAGTATTTCCAAAAACAACACATTACACACAATGATCTGATCAAAAGTACATACACACAAACAAACTGAAATTGTCATCCATATTATTTAGAAGTAGTATTCATAATGGACTAATATCAGTTGAGGAACCATTGAAAATCTGGAAGCACTGGACAACTGTTTCGTCCTAGTATGGGACTCCTCAGTAGTGCGCACCCACGACCCAGCTAGCTATCGAACTCACGACCTTCAGGTTTCACGGCGAATGCGTTAACCATTCGGCCGCTGGGTCAGTTTCCAATGGTTCACAATTTCCAAATTCTGTCAATTCACGACATAGCGCGACTGTCACCCAAAGTTTTCAGTTGACACCTGTTTCACTTCCGACTGGTTGACTCCACATGTCACGGCTTCTCATTAGACTTTCCTGATATCCATCTGGAAGCAAGTCATCAATGAACATTATACAGTAATGTATTTTTGAGATGAATGGGAATTTTTTAATTTAGAAGTAGTATTCATCATGTACTGATATCAGTTGAGAAACCATTGAAAATGTGGAAGCATTGGACGGCTGTTTCGTCCTAGTATGGGACTCCTCCTTGGGTGACAGTCGCGATATGTCGTGAATTGACAAAAGTTGGAAATTGTGAACCACTGGAAACTGACCCAGTGACTGAATGGTTAACGCGTTCGCCGTGAAACCTGAAGGTCATGAGTTCGATAGCTAGCTGGGTCATGGGTGCATACTGCTGAGGAGTCCCATACTAGGACGAAACAGCACTGATGTCAGTCCATGATAAATACTACTTCTAAATTAAAAAAAATCCCCATTCCTCTCAAAAATCCATATTACTGATTTATTTTTTCCTATATTTTCACACCCAGTTACATGTACACATATTCATATCACTTTCAACTCCAAACTAATTAACTGATAAATGAAGGCAAATTGTTAACGCTTCCTGATCAGCATAACGATGACATTCACATTCATATGTTCATCATATATAGACAGACAATGTGATCTAATTCGTCACATTTCAAACTATTCGATAACATGTACAAGTTTTTTATTCTCTGAAGCAAAAGATCAATCTATTCAACTCTATTATTATTATTATTATTATTGTTATTATTATTATTATTATTAGTCCCTTGGGTTCCTAGTGGAACATAGGGCTTCAGTAGCACGTCTCCAGTGACCTCTGTTCTCTGAGATCTTTGAACCTGGTTCCACGACAGCCCACAAGCTCTCATTTCCTCCTCGCACGACCTCCTCCATGTCACCCTCGGACGTCCAACTCGTCGCTTCCCATGGGGATTCCACTCGAGCAACTGGCCTGACGCTTGATGTCCTCAGTCGGCCTCCTCAGTGCTCAGTGGCTCAATGGTAACGCGCTGGCCGCGGAACCTGAAGGTCGCGGGTTCGACCCCTGCTGGTGGGGTCGTGGGTGCGCACTGCTGAGGAGTCCCATGCTAGGACGAAACAGCTGTCCAATGCTCCCCTATTCAACTCTATCAGATCAAATATTGATCTTGTAGTCTACATAATTGATAAGTGTATCTTATTAGTATTATTGACTTGTTCCTGTCTAATTTTTTCTTTTTCTGTAGACGTTCAAAACTTGTCAGTGATTTACATCATCTTGGACTATTATCAGCAGTTAACAATGAAACAAAACAAATTGATAATAATATTCATATGAATAATTATGAAAATGATAATCATGATAATGATAATGATGATGATGATGATAATATTGTCAATGAGAGTAAAATATTAAAGTCTAAATTAATTCAATATTTATTGTATATAAATTTAAATCCTTTAATTACTCAACGTATTTTAAATGAATTACATTATACTTTACAACATTTATCCATAATAAACAATAATAATAATAATGATAAAATAAATAAAAATTTTATTGTTATGAATTCATTGACAATTGAATTGTTCAATACAATGAATAAAGTGTTAAAAAAGTATTTTAATAAATTAAATATAAAATTACCAACTATATTATTTAATAATGATGAGGACGATAATTATGAAAGTAATAATGAATTACATCGTTGGTCATATATACAAGCTATACTACAGATTAATCTTATTAAATTCACTATAATTGAAGAGTTGAAAATAATTAATGAAGTAAGTATAATGACTAATGTTTCCTTATTGATTATAGGCGTATTACGATTTCTTACTCTCTGTTGAGTATTATCAATAAATTTCATATTTCATATGATTTAAGCATTGTGTTTTTGATTGAGATGGTTTAATGATGTACTGCGCCTACCTTGACGTACCATTATTATTATTATTATTATTATTATTATTATTATTATTATTATTATTATTATTATTATTTATCCTTTGGCTTCCTAATGAAACATACGGCTTCAATAGCACGTCTCCATTTCACTCTCTTATCTGCTGTCTGTCTCCACGACTGGCTTTCATTTTTCCTCACACGATCTCCTCCATGTCAACCTCAGCTGAGACGCCCAACTTGTCGTTTCCCCTTCGAGTTCCACTCGACGTCCTGACCTGGCCTGTTGCATGATGTCCCCGAATGGTCTCAGTGCATACTGAATCCAATCCATTTCCACTTTCTTCTTCTGTATGTTTATTGGATGATAGGTTATTGATTGGTTCGTTGCCAGCCAGCCAGCGAGAGTTCCTTGTTGCTTATTCTTGTTATACTAGCCATCTGATCTCCATTTTCAGTTTCGAGAGAGCAAGCGTAGTTGACAGCTGTTGATGAATGTCTGTAGTTTGTTTGAAATACTTTTCGTGACGCGTCGCCAAGTCTGTGAACCAGCACATGGAAGCACTGACTAACTGACTGACTGACTGACTTGACTGAATTAGTGTTGAGACTCCGTATATTGTTCAGACTTTATGCTGATTGGAGTGGAGTTGAGTGGAGTGGAATGGAGTAGATCTCGAGAGTGATTGATTGCAGATTAGTGCAGGAAGGCTTGTCTTGTTGTTATTGTGATCGTGTGTTTGACAGCCTCATGTGTGCCGCCCTGCGTATGTAGGTGAAAGAGACAACTTCGTTTAGGTTCCTCCTACTGATGGTGATTGGTGCTTGTTTTTGGTGTTGGTGACTGAGTATCTTAATCACTTCTGTCTTCTGTATGTTCACATGAAAGAAGTCCTGTCTTCTGTGCCTCGCTTCTTTTGCTAACTTGTTGGTTGTCACTTGTTGATCTTCGAGCTTGTGCGACAAAACATAAATCTTCTACGCTGTTTTCCGTAGTCCAGCGTATATCCCTCTTCTCGCTCCTCACGGTTTGCTGCATGATCCAGTCGACCACAACCAGGAAGATGATTGGTGATAGTAGTCTGTAACTTCGTCTTACTCCTGTCTTCACTTCAAAGGCATCACTGAGCTTTCCATTGTGAATCACTTAGCATGTGGCATCGTCATATAGCTGTTGAATGAGGTTGATCAAGGTTTGTGGCAGTAAAACCGTAGTGTTGAGGCAGCTGCCTGCCAAATTACTTGTTGGTCGACACTGTGAAAGGCCTTTTCAAAATCGATGTAGTTGAGGTAGAGAGTTGACTACCATTCTATGCTCTATTGTATGATGATGCATGGCGTTGCAATTTGATCCGTACATGACTTGTTTTTCTTGAAGCCAACCACCAGGTTCCAGTCGTAATTTTGAATGCAGAGCACCTTTTAGTCTCTCCAGGATAATATGGCTTAATTTGACGTACCGTGCTAGGGAAATCGGACAAAGCTTCAGAATTATCTGAATAAAATGTTGATCTGTGTGGAGATATAAACTACGCCCCTGGGATCTATGATATGATTGAAATCAGTAGTGGGGGACTCTTAGTGACATGGATGAAAACCGGCTGAAGTCATACGAATATATTCACTCCTTGATGTCTTCTAAAGGTTGCATATTCACTCTAAGCTTGCTGATGTTTATTAGAAAGGGAAATGATATCTCTTTGGTGATTTGAACCTGTTAAGAACTTACTGAATTATATACACGCATTGGTCACCAGTGGGGGATGGGTGGTAACTCATGCAGCTGTTTAGTTCCTAGCACTGATCAATTTGTATCAGTCACTAAGCTAAGTGATTTGAGATCGCAATCATAGATGTTACGAATCAATCGGGAGGTAGTTTCATGCTTGCTAGTGCTTATCAGAAAGGTAAGTGTTTAACTGGAAGGAAACTGATATTCATTGTTAAAAATATGCCTTGCTGATAAATGTCGAAGGTTTCTTGCTAATAACTCCCAATATCGTTCGATAAACTTTAACCAATGCTTAACACTAAGAAACTAGACGACAATTTGGATTAGTTACCCACTAGTGACCGGTTTGTTATAAGCTATTTCTTTCCTTGAGTATGTACTCTTGGCAGTAGATGATGCTTCACTGATATGTTAGTTGGAGCAAGCTCACAAATGCCACTGTATTCTAGTATGATATTAATTCCCGACAATTTGAATTCATTTAATTGGCTGGATTGGTCTCTCTTTCTTCACTTAACTAGTTCGCCGATTGAAAATATCTTCTGATTGATGTAGATTGTATTTATGAATCGTTGTGTATACCTCATTATCATCTAAAGAACCATCAAAAATAAATTGGTTATGAAGTGAAATATTTGTTCATAGACTTTTTAATTATAATAATACAATGAACAAAACGCACTCAACAGCCTAGGTCACATTCATATAATAGGCAATGAGCCATACACCGATCATGTAATGGTTAGTGTTGCTACCTGGCTACAAAAACTTTGATAGGTAGACCGGTGTTCAAACTCATGACCCAATAGCTGATAGTCGTCTCCCTAAACCAAAACTTCTTTCATGCAGACTGATCCTCCTGCTACTCCTCTGTATATGTTTATATATATATATATATATATATATATATATATATATATATATATATATATATATATAACCCTCGTATAAATAAATGATTTCATGCATACCAGTATTCTTGAATTTACCACCTGCTTCTAAACATCTATGATATTTTGTAGTCATATTTTTATGTATACTTCTGTTATATAACTATATTGTGATATTTATTGGCTTTCAACAGCATTTATCATTAATCCTGGAGTGTTGTACAAGTCTATTAGTCAGTACTAAGTTACCCTTGATTATGCAATTGATTTGGCAGTGTACAAGTATGCTGTTGAATGATTCCAAGTCTTGTGGATTTCAGTTGAAAAGTTTAGATTCTGTAAGTTATATGTTTGTTTGTTTTTTAAATTTTTGTATAGAGTATTCATGAATATGTAACGAAAATATTTCATTTTAAAGAGTTCTTCTATGTTGTAAAAAAAATATGAACTAAAAGGGTTAGAATATATGTTGTGTATGACCTGAGATCAATTTATAAAAAGAGGCTAAAAATGGGTTGATTTATAATGTAACGTTGTTTGATGAACCCACTTACTGTTTATCTGAGCTAATTTATTAACATAATATAATGCATCACAGATTTCAACTCAGCTTCATCTACCCCGAGGTCTAGGCAATGTCACTGGTTGCAACATCACTTTCCTCGAGGTTCTAGATATACCTTCTATTTTAATGTATTTGTTAGAAATGTCACATAGTGAAACAATACCATTTATTCGATAACTCCTCTGAAACAATTTATTGTCCATATTCGTATAAGGTAAGTGACTGAGGATCGGAAAAGCAAGACAGGCTTTCATCAATCTGAAAACCAGTGTGGAGATCTACTGCAGTCAGCACAAACAATAAGATCCGGATTTTCAACACCAATTCAGTCAAGTCAATGCTTCTATGTGATGGTTAAGAAACTTGGCGTATCACGAAAATCATTTCCAACAAACTACAGACATTCATCAACAACTGCTGCCAACGCTGGCTCAACACTGAAGATCAGATGACCATAAAAAATAAGCAACAAAGAACTCTAGCTGGCTGGCAACGAACCAACCAAAAACCTATCATGCAACAAATATGCAGAGATAGAAAGTGGAGATGGATTGGGCATACTCTGAGAAGGCCGACTGGGGACATCACGCGACAGGCTAGACCAGGCCGTCGAGTGGGAGTCCGAAGGGGAAACGACGAGTTGGGAGTCTCAACTGAGGTTGACATGGAGGAGACGATATGAGTAAGAAATGTAAGCCAGTCGTGGCGCCAGGTGAAGACAGACTGCAGAGAAGAGAGTGAAATAGAGACGTGCTACTGAAGCCCTATGTTTCACTTGGAACCCAAAGGAAAAATAATAATGATAAAATAAGGTGCCTCGACAGTTTGAGACATACTTTATGCAGTCCTATTTTTTGTCTCCTTCTGTGTGATGACAAGGATAGTAGGATTTTCCACATATCTGGGACAGATCACAGTCATTCTCATCGCATGTATTTGGTGTTGATTCGATAAACAAGGATTCGGTTATCAATCTCTCCCTCCCTCCATCCAAGTAAGTTGGTTTTTAATGCTGTCGCTCTATCACCCACCCTATTGTGCGATTATGTGTAATTGCATGCAAAGCTATATCTGAGCTTCTCTGTAAATTTCTTATCTTGTTAAGATCTACTAATCTTGATTTAGCTAACTTTTTCTGCTTTGTTATTCTAATCGACCGTGGTCGACTGCTTTGACCTATGTACTTGATCTCGCAATCATTGCAAGGGATCTGGTAAACCAGATTATTTTGCTGCATTCCATCGATAGGATCTTTTAACCTACAAAGCTTGTTTCTAAATCAGTTTGTTGGTTTAAATGCCACTTTAATCCCAGCCTTATTGAGAATTCTTCGTAATACTTCTGAGGTGCCTTCCTTGTATGGTAACACGACAGAGACTTTGAATTCTCTCTCAACCCTGTCACCATTATTACCATTAGTAGCAGAATTATTATTAATAACGCCTGTATTATTACTACCGCTGCCAATATTTTTCTTTCGACTTCAGATAAACTTATTTATAAATTTTGTCAGGTAATTGTTGAAATATACCTTACTGACGAGTATCAAAATGTACGAAACCTAGGTCCAGGACTTCCTGCCGATTGCCACCTCCATCCAACTAACAACCATCACACAATTATTATTATTATTACTATTTTTTCTTGGGTTCATAGTGGAACATAGGGCTTCAGTAGCACGTCTCCATTTCACTCTCTTCTCTGCAGTCTATCTTCACCTGGCACCACGACTGACTTACATTTTTTCCTCATATCATCTCCTCCATGTCAA